CCTCCCCCCCTCCGCCCCTATGACGGTCAATTGGCCTCTTTCCCCTACAAATTTTGCTTGCTTTCGCTGAAAATTTTATCTCTGACGATGGACTCCCACAAGAAATTGAAGGCTTTCGGCGATCGACAGTGCTTCTTTTTTTTCTTCTTCTCAAACTATATAAATATCCGGGATGTGAACCTTTGCCTCAATTCACACATCTGACTAACAAGGTCGTGGGTGCGAACCGCAGATGGGACAACAATATATGGCGTACCGCCTGGGGTTCGCTATGGCCGACTGACAACGTCTAGTATGCCAGAAATGGCTATCCGGATCTCCTTGTCCGTATCAGCAATGTTTTTCTGTATATTTTATAAGCCGCATTGCGGGACGGCTGGAGGGTGAGCCCGAAAGGCACCAAGTGGGACGAGTGTGCACTGTAACTGATCGGAATGCGCCTATGTGCCAATGCGTATACACAATCGACACGACAAAGACGAGCGAATGGCGCTGAGTTTAAAGCTTTGGACGTCTGGATAACAAGATCGCGGGTGCAAACTTCGGGTCGCGCTCCAATATATGGTGCACAACTTGAGGATTATTTGTGACTGGCTGACGACGTCTACTAAAAACCACGAATTGCTATCTTAGACTCCCCTGTCTTTCTCTAGAATGTCTTTTTGCCCATAACATTAGAGGCCTTGCCGCGCGGCTCGAGAGCGAGCCCGAAATGCTCCAAGTGTGAAGAGTGTGTCCTCTAGCCCATTGATGTGCGCCAGTCTGTCCTTGTATACGCTCCATCCAATTAGGCAAGACAAAGAACCCGTGTTGCAGTGGCTAGAGTGTTACACTTCTAAATATCAGGGTCGCGGGTGCGATCCTCGCGATGGGCGCCAATAGATGGCGCACCATTTGGGGAACAGTATGATTGGCTGAAGATGGTTATTAAGCCAGCAATTACCATCCTAGCCTCCACTGGTAATGCCTTTCTAACTAATAAACCAGAAATGGCCATTGTGGTCTCTGCCATGTTGGTCGGTTCCATTTCAAATATTTATATCATGGCATATGGGCGATCAATTATCTATGCGACACTAACTCGTTTGGTTATGCCTTATGTCTCGATCTCCAGTCCAAATGGCTGCATATTTTAGGTTGGAATATATTGCCGACAAGGCAACGGAGACTGGAATTGCAAATTTGGTTTGTTTGGCATTATCAGCCGTCCATATCCAACCCAGTGTATTTGCCCTCCGAGGCTTGAGCCGGTTACCTCATTAGAGAGAAGTCGAACGTTCTGACCACTGTGACATTGAGATTTTTTTCATGGTTTCGACTGGGAATATAAACAATAATACATTTATATGCTAAAAGATTCGGAGTCCGGACATGTTATCGTGTTCATCATCTCCTAAAGATAAGGAAGAAGAAGACGAGGCAGGTTCCTGGACCCTGCTTTCAAGGCATTGTTGAATTCAATCATTCCCGACATCCAGTTTACTATGGAAGAAGAAGTCAGCAGTCAGTTGCCCTCCCTTGACGTCCACGTTAAAAAACTGACAGACGGGAACATAAGGACAACAGCCAAACGTAAGGCAACTAACCCCAGACGCATTCTCCAATTGCCAAGCAACCACCCTGATGGTCATAAACGCAGTTGAGCCAGAAGCCGCTTCCGACGTGCTCAAACACACAATAGCAACAACAGTGGGAAGCAGGAGGAGATGAAGTACTTACATGCCCTTTTCAAAGCCAACGGTTATCTGAAGTCCTTCATCCGCAAGTGCCTCAAGAAGCCTCGCGTTTATCGGTCGAAAGAAGAAAAGCCAAAATTCTGGCTCGCCATCCCCCACGTGAAAAACGTTTCAGAGGCCACTGCACGAATCCTAGAACCTTTTGGGATCGGAGTGGCGCATAGACGAGATTTTATAATCAGACAGCAAATCATGAAGCCCAACGACATGTTGCCAGCAACCGAGCAATCAGGCGTAGTCTACAGCATACCATGCAAAAACTGCGAGGCGAGATATGACGGTGAAACGGCCGAACGCCTGGGCACAAGATTTCACGAACATCAACTTGCAATCAACCGCAAGGACAAGCTGTGTTTGGTCTATGCTCATATGCAACAGCTCAACCACGACTTCGCCTTTGAGAAAGCGAGGGTGATCGGCAGGGCCCCAAACGCATGTCGCAAGTGCCAAGCAACCACACTGATGGTCATAAACGCAGTTGTGTCAGAAGCCGCTTCCGACGTGTTCAAGCACACAATAACGACGACATTTGGAAGCAGGAAGAGATGAATTACTTGCATGCACTTTTGAAAGGGAACAGGCATTCGAAAGCTTTCATCCGCAATTGCTTCAAGAAGCCTCGTTTTCAGCTCGCAATCTTCTATGTGAAAACGGTTCAGAGGAGACAGCAAGAATCCTGAAACCTTATGGGATCGGCGTGGCGCATAGATCACTATCCACAATCAGGCAGCAAATCATGAAGTCCAAAGACCCACTGCCAGTTACCGATTAATCACCAGTTGTCTACATTTCTCGTGCATTGACGAGCAGTAGCTTATCCACAGTAGATTCCCTATCTCATGAAATGTCACCCGGAATTCTGAAATGAGTTTTTGATTGGAACACATTAATTGCGGATGTTTGTAATTGAGACGAGCATGCAGCCTAATCTCAACATATTTGGACACTTCAGGATGCCGGCCTTTTAACGAGCTTCTTTCTGACCGCCAAGAAAAAGTATGTTACATAAAAGGTGGCTACTTAAGTAGTATGCCTTTTTGTCATTGATTGTGACTGCCT